TCTCCAGGAGGTCCGCCTACTCCTGCCTGTGCCCAGAAGCGCACGTCGCCCTCTCCACCTTCCATGTCTCCGAGCTGTACGTTCCGGCGACGCATTCGCAGCTGTGCGTGTGGTATCGCGTCATCTTTCGTGTTCAGTAAGTGCGAACTTTGGACCACCGCCGACTACGTACCGTCATTTTGGGCTTGAGGAACAGTCGCAGCAGATTCTGGCTGTTGAAGTGGAAATCGTCCGGCAGCGTATAGTCTTCCTCGACAGCGGTCGCTCTGCGGATATTCTTGCGTGCGGCGGTCGTGATCGAAGATTTCGGGTTCGCTGCGGCGAAGAGCTCCTTGGCAGAAAGAGGCGGCGGGTTGGCAAAGTCGATGGCGAAGGCGACTTTTTCCTTCCGTTCCTTCTTGGCGACCGGCGCGTCGTCTGCGGAGGGTCGACTAGTCAGAAATCAAGTTTCGCTCGTTCGTGCATGACGGACTGCGCCCACCTTTCTTGGCAGCTGCGACTCCCCGGCGCATCTTCCAATGCTCGGGACCGGCCCAGTTCTTGCCCAGTTTCGCGTCAAAGTAGGCAAACATGCCGTCGCCTTCGCCGTCCATACTCATGACGAGATCGCGTTCGTCTGCCATGCGCCGCGGGTCGAACGGCTCGACTGCCCCAAAGCCCGTACCGCCGCCGCCTCCTGACCCGCTGCCCGACGCGATCGGAGCAGGTGCACCTGCGAGCCCGAACGCGGCTGCTTCGCCGCTGAACTGGTCGGCAAAGAAGTCGACTTCTGCGCCGTCGTCGTCATCGCCGCCGCCGCCAAAGTCCTGGTTCAGGTACGGGTCGTCGAAACCGCCCATGTCCTCGTCATCGTCGCCCGATGCCAGGTGGCGGGCATCCGGCGGGCGGTGGGAAGCGGAGGCGGGCAGAGTCTCAGCTCCGTTGTCGTCGTCGTCGAAACCGAGGTTGAGGAGGCCGAGGTCAAGTTGTGCGTCGGAGAAGCGGAAAAAGGACAAGGAAGGGCAGAGGGACATGGTCGACAAGGCATCCAAGCCGTTTGGCAAGCAGCGAGCTGTTTGTTTACACTGACGGGTCAGCAACTCGAGTCGCATCCCTTCTCGCTGCCACGCCAAGCTCTCACCTCGCAGCTTCGCCAAGTCGACTTCCAGATGGTCGGTCGAGGGCGTTTTCGCTGCCCCCTCTGCATCGCCTTCCTCCTCCTCATCTTCTTCGTCGCAGTCGAGCTTGGCGTCTCCAGCGTCAAAGACGACCTTCATCGACCCGTCGCAGCCGAGGTGGTTCATGAGGATGCCTCCTGCGCCGCCCTCGTCAAAGTCGGCCGAAGTCTTTTTGAACAGCGGGTCGACGGTGAATTCCAGGTCGAACTGCTTGACGCGGATCTTGGCAAAGTCATCGGCGAGCGTCGCGGCCTGTCGCGCAGTCTGTGTCGCGAGGGTCTTGTCAGTCGGGGAACAGGTTCTGTCGAGAGTTGCCATGAGGACGGGTCTCACATGCTTTCGTGTACGCTTCTCGGGGCGTCCCGCGCCGTCTCCTCCTTCATCGTCCATCTCGTCGTCATCGAGAGGTTCTAGTGGCGGTTAAAAGTTGAGCATCCGCGCGTGAAGAATGACAACCAGAACGCGAGGGAACGTACGAGCATCCTCTCCGAGTCCGCTCAGAAGCTTGCCCGTCTCGGTCGCGACCGAGTCGACCCGGCTCGTCCAGATCTTGACGCACCCGTCGAGAGTGCAACTCGCCTTCTGGAAGTTGATCGAGTTGTCTTCGCCGTTGCGCAGGAGCGACATGTCGTGAAAGTAGTCGATCAAGGCGAGGTTCCAAGTGTTGGTCGACGTGATTTTCTGCGGGCGAACCCGGGTCAGCTTTGTGGCAGCCAAGTGGAACTCGATGCAGCAACCGCACGTTGTCTGTCGCGATCTTCATCCACTCCTCGTAGCGCTGGCTCTCGACGACGAGGGGTGCGGCACCGAGAGTCCCGCTGACGTTGCGGCGGGGGGTCCCGGTCGCGTCTCTGAGGCGGTTGGCGGCTGCGAGGACTGCCATCTTTGGGTTCCGGGGTCCCTGTCTGGGGGGCGTCGCTGGTTGACGCGGCGAACGATTCGAGTCGGCGCTGTTTGCGAGGGAAGAGCGCCTGTTGGCTGTAGCGCCATCTGATCTGCGCGGCATAGCGCTCCGTCGTGGTCTCGCCGTGGGACTCGATGTGACTGTCAGCAGCACAGGCAGAGAGGGCGCGCGAGAGAGCAAAGCGGGCGAGCAGCACAAGTTGAGCGATCAATCTCGCGGCACGTGACCGCGTCCAGCGAGCACCTCGCACCTCGCCCTGCTCTCTCTCTACACGCACGCATCGCCTGCAAGAGCGTTAACACCAGGTCGTTCTCATCAGTCCGACTTCTCTGCGCCTCCCCGTCGAGCATCTTATCCACGCCCGCGAGTCGACCCCCGAGATCCGGCCCCCGTCATTCAACCATTCAACCCTCCGACACCACAGAAACTCGACTACATCCCCCAAGCCACAATGTCGACACGCGCCGCCGTCAGGAACAAGTCGGGAGATCCCACGCCGCATCATGCAGCCCGTGCGCACCGCCCCGTGCAGGTCCATGACGATCAACTCGGCTGGGCAGACCTCGAAGCCATGAGGGAAGACTTTGAACTCGAAGGTGAGCTCGCGATTGCGGTCTCGCGAATGTGGCTCCCTCTGCACGGTCTAGAGCCCCCGCCGCTGTCGGGAACCTGCTCACGCCCCGCGACGTCTCGCTACAGCCGCCTCGCATCTGCGCTCTCTCGCCAAAAAGCACAGTGAACGGCTCGCGGCACTCGCACGCCACTTTGGCGACACCCTGACGTCGCTCGATACCCGCGTCCAGGCCATGTCCTTGTCAAGCTACGTCAGCGACTTTGACTGCGACCCCCACCGCGCTCTCCGCGCCTTGGTCGAGCAGAGCATGCGGCCCCCGGCCATCAGTGCCGTCGAGCAGAGCGCCCGCAAGCGGTGAGTGGATTGCCCGTCTCATAGACGGTGCAGGCAGTTCCTCGAGGCAGCCAACTCACGTCGGCGTTCCCACAGCAAACGCGTCTTGCCGAGCTCTCCCGCCATCGGGGCCTTTGGTACGCGCCCCGACAGCACTGCGCTCTTCTGTGTCACACAAACTGACTCTCGACAGACTACAGGCGATGAATCGGACGTTTTCGGTACCGTCAAGAAAGCGCGGGCCGATACGAACGCAGCGAGTGCCAAGAAACCGACGACGGGACCGCTGCGAGGCAACAGCACCCGTGCGACTCGTGCAGCGAACCTCGTTTCGCCCTCGAGCGTAAGTCTCGGTTGCGGAGCTGGCCCCACAAAGTCGAGCAACGCATGCTCACTATGTCCACACACAGACTCGTAAACCGCGCCTCCGTATTCGCGCGTCGCAGACCGTAGCCGGCGGGTCAGCGGCTCGACAAACTCCGGCGGCCGGCAATTTCATCTACCGCCGGAACGAGTCCCTCGACCCTGCTTCTTTGGGGTCCTCGACCTCGGCGACTGGAGTGCGAGGTACATCGGCCACGTCTTCTCGCGTCGGTCTTGCCGCGCCGACCCCACGTCAACCGCGTCTCGGCGAAAGCATCGTGATGCGCAGCATCAATGGATCGCCGCTCGGCGAGTTTGTCGCAAGCGACATCGAGGACGACGATGAGGACGAGCCCGGGCAGACCGAAGCGGGAGAGGCGGCGACGAGTTCCGATCCGGCCGACGGCCTCGAGTCGGAAGAGGAGGACTGGGATCTTATGGACAAGAACGAGGCGTCCAATGTCGAGCGACAGTCACTCTCTAAATCTGCTCGCAAGCGACAGCAGAAGGGCAAGAGCACGGCCGGCTCGGGTGGCGGCGGAACAAGCAAGGCCAAGTCGGCGGCGTCGAAACTCGTCAAGTCTGCTTCGGCACGATCTACCGTGCCCTCGGCGTCGGCGTTCGAGATGACCTTGCCGGACGGCGCGCCGAGCTTTGATGCGCTCAAAGCCAAATGGCTCAACGATCTCAAGCAGAAGCTCCTCCAATCCGACATTGGCGAGAACGAGCGGCAGCGACTGGAGGAAGTGCTTTGCAGTATGGCGGACCTCTAGTGACGGAGTGTAATGCCCTCTCTTGACTGGATGCGTTCTCGGAGGAGCAGTTGCGCATCCCTGAGATACTGCAATAGGCGCTGTGCATCGTCGCCCGGGCCGCCCCGTTTTCCACCATCTCCGAGGCTCTATCTATTTCGGCCCCAAAGCCTCGGATCCTCATGCGGGCTTTGAAAATGCAGCTGTACAGGTCGGGGCTATGGAGTGTCCCCAAAATATGCCGAAGCGTCGAGCGTCGCGAAAGTTCTCCGACAATCCCCAAAAGGTGTTTCGATTTGAGCGCACCGCCGTACAGACTCCCACAGGAGGGCACTGTAAAACTACTTCATTTCAGCCAAAAGCTGCATGTAAAGGGAATGAAAGGATTTGAACGCCTCCTCGGGGACTCATGCTGCAGAAGACCGTGCGCTGCAAGAAGACGCATTCTTGTGCTTGTCTTGCTTGTCGCTCGGCAGGCGGTCAAGTCGTCTGGGTGGTGCAGGGTACTACCTGACCAGTGCCAAGGTTGGCAGCCTCTAGACCTCTTGACGAGCTAGCGCTACGATGCGTCACGGCCGCTCGTCGGGGCTCATGCGACGGCGACCGCAATGACGCAAAAGGAGCTTTATCCGGGAATCTGTGCACATCAGCCAGTAGTAGAGTGTTGCGCAGGCGTGACAATCAAGCTCACGCTCCAGTACGACGCCTGTATGAGGAGAGATCAGATTGAGCTTGGATTTCAAGATTGATATTTTGCGGACATCTTTTTAAAACGTCAGCCACTTTGCTTTGGCACCTCGGAATCACTCTGTCCTTGCCAACAAGGGCAGTCATGTTTCGATGACTACGGGTGAGCGCAAGGTGGAGATAAAGGGTTAGTAAATTATAAACGCAAAATTTAAACGGCTTACATCGACGGCCGCGTGGCCCAATGGCAAGGCGTTTGACTACGATTTATCGTACATCAAGAGACTCTGGGTTCGAGCCCCAGCGTGGTCAGTTCTTTTTGCACGCTGTACGCGGCGTCGTCCGTTTCTTTTTGATTGTGGCTGAATTCGCGGCTTGCCCCCTTGTCGGGCTCACCGAGTTGCCTGGCCAGCCAATGCAACTCTTGTTCTGCATGCTTGCCTCAACACGCACCTAACTGATGTCCGAGCCCTGGGCGTGGCCGCGTCTGTCGAATTTTGAAAAGGGAAGGAGCCCGGAGCAGGAGTTCCAGGTTGAGACAAGCCTGTACAGCGGATCCGACAGAGGTGAGCTGAGCTTGGTCTGCCATGCACAGTTCCCTGTCAGGCACCAAGCCTTTCCCACAACGGACAGCCCGTGGAGAAGGTGTGGCAAGAAAGAACTCGCGTTGCGACAAGAAACGGTAACCTTCTCAAGTTGGACACGGCGGTGTGACGGCGTCACGAGGGTCTGAGGTGCCGCTGACATTCCAAGTCCTGCACAGGTGGACAAGGGCCTGGAGAAGAGAGTTTCCAGTGAAGTTGATATAAACAAGCAAGGAGTCAAATCGGAAGCGATGCACCACAGGAAAAGTCAGAAGTGGCATCAACGATGCACATCTTGGCAAATCACAGATCACAGCCCACTGAGAATTGGTATGCATTCAACTCGCCCCCCAAGCTTTGTGCAAGCATGGTATTGGTCCGCACATGGGCCTCAGCCGCAGAACCGTGCTTTGAGCAAGTTCAATATCATGCAGATTATATTTGCAATGAGCTAAACTTTGGCATGCCGCGCCCCTATGGCTCAGTGGCAGAGCGTTCGCCTAGTAAGCGAAAGGTCCATAGTTCGATCCTGTGTGGGGGCATTCTTTTGTTCTTTTTTTGCGGGACTCGCCAGGACCAGCAGGACCCGCAGATTCAGCGGAGATACATACGCTCGCGGGCGCATGCGATGACATGAAGCGCCTGAGGCCGCTCTGCGTAAACCATACTGTAGTATACAGACACATGCTAAGCCTGGCTCGAGCTCAAAGTGGGCGCATGGTGTAGTCGGCTATCACGTGTCCTTTACACTCTTCGTGTGATCGGATAAGGTCCTCAGTTCGATCCTGGGTGCGCTCATCACATTTTTTGCATGGCCCTTACCCCTACTCCTGAAGCGTTTTCTCGGGCTCTTTTGCTCGCATGTGTTCAGACTAGAAAAAGGGGGCGCCGCGGGCCAAAAAGACCTGAGGAAAAAAAAAATGCCTCTAGAGTGGATCGAACACTCGACCTTGTCATTACGAGTGACACGCACTACCACTGTGCTATAGAGGCATTTGGCTGCGAGCGTTTTGGCATTGGCAAATATATACTCTATACAAAAGCCGCTCCAGCCTTTCGCTCTGCGCTGAGGCACATCGCCTGTGCAACTACCCCGAGTGCAGCAGATACTTCCTGCGCGTCCTTGTTGAAAGAAGCATTAGTATTGGACATTGTACAGTCCGAAGTGAAGTGCGGGTCACCGCGTTGGCCGTGCCGGAGTGAGCAGGAGGTAGGTCCGTCGATGCAGTGCTCGCCCGCCAAGTCTGTCCAACGAAGACGAGGCAGATGCATGCGCAGCTGCAGCTGTAAGTCAGCCCCAAGTCGCCGCGCAAAAATGGTCAAACGCGACGAGGCGCGTCTTGGGAAAAGCGCGCGCGCGATGGACGCGCCCGGCCGCGAATTCTGCTCGCCCTTTCTCTCCTCCTTCTTCCTCCCGCCCCATCTCGAGCTTCTTGCCACACAGACTCGCGAGACCCTCGCAATTCAAGAGCAGCTCACTCTCTACAGTAGTCTCTCTCGGTCAGATCCTACCCCAGCTCTCGCCCCCTGCCTCCTCGCAGCATGGCTTACGTATACAAGGTGCGCGGCGTAGGAGAGCCCTGACGTGGAGTGCGATAGCTGACGATGCTTGCATCACGCGCTATACGACCCTCCCACAGCGCGGTGAGCTCTCGATTCCTCGCGCGCGATGGCTCTCCCGCGGATGAACCTGATCTTTTCTTCGTGTCAAACGCGACAGATGGCCGCCGCGAGCAGGTCGCCTTCGACAAGATGTGAGTGTAACGGTTGCTCACAGGAGCTTGTTCGCTGTTTTCTGACCCGGCACTGTGCAGTACGGCGCGCATCAATAAGCTGTGCTACGGCCTCGACATGAACCATGTCGAGCCCATCGAGGTGGGTCTTCCGGGTCGCTCACCTCCCGCAACGTGGTCGAGAACCGGCCTGACCCGCGAACGTGTACAGATTACCAAGCGCGTCATCAACGGCGTCTACAACGGCGTGACCACCGTCGAACTCGACAACCTGGCCGCCGAGACGGCCGCTTACATGACGACCCGGCATCCGGTGTGTTTCTACGTTTCCGCTTAACAAGCCGCTACGGTTCTCATGGCTGACGTTTACCAATGCTCGCGTCCTCGCCCGCAGGACTATGCCATCCTGGCGGCCCGCATCGCCATCTCCAACCTTCACAAAGAGACCAAGAAGACCTTCTCGCATGTGATCACCGACCTGTACAATTACAGTGCGTGCACCGCTCGTCGGGCAGATCGACAGCGAGAGTGGAGACTGACCCGCAAGAGCCTGCACACAGTCAACCCGAAGAACGGTCGGCCGTCGAGCATGATCTCCAAGGAGACTTACGACGTTATCGTCGCCAACGCCGACGAGCTCAACAGTGCAGTCATTTACGACCGCGATTTCAGCTACGTGCGTTTACAAGTTCTGCGCGCGTGGCCGCTGTGCGGAACATGGAGCAGGCATCGTTGACGAACCTTGCCGCGCAGAACTACTTCGGTTTCAAAACTCTCGAGCGCTCGTATTTGCTGCGGATCGACGGCAAAGTGGCGGAGCGTCCTCAGCACATGCTCATGCGCGTTGCCGTCGGCATCCACGGACCCGACATCAAGCGTGCTATCGAAACCTACAACTTGATGTCGGAGCGCTACTTCACTCACGCGTCGCCCACGCTGTTCAACGCCGGTACCCCTCACCCGCAACTCTCGTCCTGCTTCCTCGTCACCATGCAGGACGACTCGATCGAAGGCATCTACGACACGCTCAAGACTTGCGCGCTCATCTCCAAGACTGCGGGCGGGATCGGTCTTTCGATTCACAACATCCGCGCGACCGGTTCGTACATCGCCGGCACGAACGGCTACTCGAATGGCATCGTGCCTATGCTCCGCGTCTTCAACAACACGGCGCGTTACGTGGACCAAGGAGGCAACAAGCGACCCGGCGCGTTCGCGATCTACCTTGAGCCGTGGCACGCCGACATCTTCGACTTCCTCGACCTCCGCAAGAACCACGGCAAGGAAGAAGTCCGCGCGCGAGACCTCTTCTTCGCGCTGTGGATCCCCGACCTGTTCATGGAACGCGTCGAGCAGAACGCCGAGTGGCCGCTGTTCTGCCCCGCTGAGGCGCCCGGCCTCCACGACGTCTACGGCGACGAGTTCAGGGCGCTCTTCGAGAAGTACGAGAAGGAGGGTCGCGCCAAGCGTACAATCTCGGCGCAGAAGTTGTGGTACGCCATCCTTGAGGCCCAGGTCGAGACGGGCAATCCCTTCATGCTCTACAAGGACGCCGCGAACGGTACGTACCCCTGCTACACTCCTTCGAGATGTCCCGACATCTGACACTCAGTCGCAAAAATCGGGCAGAGAAATCCAACCAGAAGAACCTCGGAACCATCAAGTCGTCCAACCTCTGCACGGAGATCATTGAGTACTCCGCCCCGGACGAGTGGTGCGTTTTTGGCCCTTCTGCCGCAGAGCACTCCCCGCCCGCGTGTGACTGAGACCCCGTGAACGCGCGCAGCGCCGTGTGCAACCTGGCCTCCATCGCTCTCCCGTCCTTCATCAAGAACGGAGAGTACGATTTCCAGAAGCTGCACGACGTCGTCAAGGTCGTCGCCTACAACCTCAACCGCATCATCGACGTCAACTACTACCCCGTCAAGGAGGCGGAGCGAAGCAACATGCGCCACCGCCCGATCGGTGTGGGCGTGCAAGGTCTCGCCGACGCCTTCATGGCCCTCCGTCTGCCCTTCGACTCGCCGGAAGCCCGTCAGCTCAACCTCCAGATCTTTGAAACGATCTACCATGCTGCCATCGAGTCGTCGTGCGACATGGCCCGCGACTGGGCGGCCGATCACCCCGGCGAGTCAGGCACCTACCCGTCGTACCTCGAGAAAGGCGGGTCGCCGGCGAGTCACGGTTTGCTGCAGTACGACCTGTGGAACATCACGCCGACCGACCTCTGGGACTGGACGACTCTCAAAGAGAAGATTGCCCGCCACGGCCTCCGGAACTCGCTCGTTTGCGCGCCCATGCCCACGGCCTCGACGAGTCAAATCCTCGGCTTCAACGAGGCGTTCGAACCGTATACCTCGTGCGTCTTCCCTTGTATCGCGCATGTCGCAGCCCGCAAAACTGACGCGAGCTTGGCCGACAGCAACATCTACACGCGCCGCGTTCTCGCTGGCGAATTCCAGGTCGTCAACCCTTGGCTCTTGAGAGACCTCGTCGACCGCGGTCTTTGGGACGACGCGATGAAGAACACCATCATTGCTCACAACGGCTCGATTCAGAACGTCCCCAACATCCCCGACGAACTGAAGAGGATCTACAAGACCGTCTGGGAAATTTCGCAGAAGGTCGTCATCGACTTGGCGGCCGATCGTGGAGCTTTCATCGACCAGTCGCAGTCGCTCAACATCCATCTCTCTTCGCCGACCATGGCGCAGCTCACGAGCATGCACTTCTACGGCTGGAAAAAGGGACTCAAGACCGGCATGGTACGTTTCCTCCCTTGTCGGCTCGTGTCGGATGTCCTCGCGTGCTGACTGTAACGTCGACGTTTTCAGTACTACCTCCGCACCCGCGCCGCGGTCGGAGCGATCAAGTTCACCGTCGACCAAGCGACCCTGAGTAAGTCTCCGGCGCAGCTATCTCTTTCGGATTGCAGCGTTAGCTGATACGCAATTCTACCTCACGCCCCTCGGCAGACTCCGCCAAATCTGCCAAC